AATCCGAGTATTTCTCTCGGATCTCAGAGGCTGAAGGATTTAACTTTTTTTCTTCTTTTCCATGGAGACTAGAGATGGGGTGTAAAGACTCTGAAATGGGACATTTACCTTGGAGTAAAATGAAAACAGTAAAGCAGAAAAATAAGATTTAACCTAAGTGGTTAAATCTGACAACATCTATTAGTTAAGCCACAGTATTTGTCAACTTCAGAAAGCTGAAGCAGCAGGCATCTAAAGTGAATAATACTTAAAATACTGTTTCAATAAGAAGACTAATGTCACGCACAATTCTAGAAACACTTACCTTGAAAAGACTGTTTGGCTCTATCTACTAGTTCATCAATGGGATAACTGGCCAAATTTCCTCTGGCGTGTTTAGTTTTGCAGTAGGTACATGCATTGAGACACCTGTTCAAATGATAGCAATAGATAAGACTCAAAGTTTTAAAAACAATGTGTACATAACATGAAGAGAGACAAACTAGTCTTACTTTAAGAACATTCACTTACTTTATAAGACAGACATAAACAATGAATATCTGAATGTCTCGAATTTATTTTATTCCCACCAGGTGAAGCAAGTTGCAATTTATCTTAGTTTAATGGTTGTTACAGACCCTAATATTATCTTAAAATACAAATATCCGTGAGAAACAAAGTTCATAAAACATTACAATTATAAGTCAAAAGAAATTCAACACACTTTTTTGTAAGCCCCTGATATTTCTTCAGATCAAATAAGTAGAATATTTTAGTATTTCTTATACATACTTTATTACACATTGTTATTAGGTGTCCACAAAATATATAATATATATTACACATGTATTAATATATGCATTGATATATTATAAACATATTAGGTATCCAATAAAGCAAGAAATTCAAGAATGTTTAGATGTAAAAAGACTGGGTTATGAGAGTCTTAGCCTAATCAGTGCACTAATCCTCTGATAGGGATTAACTGGGTGGTAAGAACTGGCAGGTAGGGTGTGGTTGGAGGAGACAGGTCACCTGGAGTGTGCCTCCGAGGTTTATAACTTGTCCCTGGTGCAGGCAGCTCTCTCTCTGCTTCCCGATTGTCATGTCCTGACCTATTTGCCTCCTCCAACCCTACCACCATGGTGTGCTGGCTTGTCCTGGGTCCAGAGGAATGGAGTGGACCATCTATGGATTGGACCTCTGAAAACATGAGCCAAACAAAATTTCCGTCCTCTAAAGTTGTTCTTGTTGAGTCTTTTGTTGACAGTGGCAAAAACAGTGACAAAGATAGAAATGATAAAGCAAATTCATGTAGCCTTTAAGTAATGAGATATATACATAAGTATGTATATATAAAATACACATACATTTGTTATATAGATTATGCAATTTATGTGTATTTACATAATATTATATATATGAATAGGCAACATAGCATTCTTTAAAGAAAATACGCCATTAGAAATTTTTCACTCCTTGAAATAAAAACAAAGTATTAAAACACATTTAGTGATCATTCTCTGGAATTATATTAGTCAAAGTCAAGAAGTGGAGGGCTAGGGGCAGCCCCGTGGTACAGTGCTTGCCCAGCACACGAAAGTCCCTGGGTTTCGTCTCCAGCACCGCACCAACACACATTCACCCCCCACACACACACACACAATGAAATAGAATGACAATATTACTCTTAGAAATTTCAAAATAGGCATTTCCCAGGAGGTTTTAGACACGATTTAAAAAATTGTCTTTCTGTTGACAATGTTGATTCTACATTTATAACTATAAAACTTAAGTAAATTTCTTATTTCAAAATAAACAGTGACAACATAAAAAAATTGTTAAGCTTCATCAAAAAGATGAAGCTCAACAATACTGATCAGAACAAAAAGGAACATCTTTTTGATGATTCAGTTTTCATAATGAGCAAAAAGGTTTTTAAAAGACCATCATTATACATGCTTTGAGTTTACTATCAAGAAAAACTGGAGTTTTAATAATTGAACCTGAACAACATGTGGTTTTACGGATACATAACCATAAAATACATAGGAATCCCTGTC